CAGATTGGCCAGATTTTAAAGGCCCCAGTGCGCTCACTACACAGAATAATCTTTTGTTCCCAGTCCTGATTTAGTGAGCAGGAGGAGAAGCGCAGGAAGCAACAACACGAACAACAAATTGTAGTTACACAGCGCTTTCAAGTTGGGAAGATGTCCCAAGGCACTGGACAGTGAAGGGTTTATACCTGAGCTAAGGCCTGGAGTCAAGGAGTGGATTGTTGCTCAGGACACCACAAGAAACTCCCTTTTTTCACAGAGAACGGCACCTCCAACAATGCAGGACAACCCCCAGCACTGCACTGGAGCGTCAGCCTAGACTCTGAGCTCAAAATCCTGATGTGGGGTTGGGTTTGAGCCCATAACTTTCTGACTCACATAGGCCAGAGATCTACAGACTGAGCCAGGCTGACACACAGCACACCTCCCAATGCGCCTGTGAGCTATGTTGTGATTGGGATGGTTGCCGTGCCTTTGATGCCTCTGACACAGGCCAGTAAACCCTGGCCAAGGAGATTGAAGTTGCAAGACTGGGTCAAACAGCATATACAATGAGCACTCTGTGAAACCGGACTTCTTCACTAGACTAAAGTAATTCCAGCCTGGCCAATATAAAGGAAGGTGATGGAGTTTTAAGCACCACATTCATACATGAACCTTTCTATTGCAGGAGCATATAAAACAGAAGTAAAACCCCAGTGGATTGGTATGACAATTGGCAGCAAAACTGGGTAAAACTGTAATACCCTGGGCAGCTCCTGTTTCCTGCTATAAGCAATACTATATGTTATTGTTCTAATCTTAATTTCCTGGAACCCACCTTCTTTGGCACCAAGCTGTGGGGAGAGTTATCGGAAGGTCCTGAATGAGAGCTGGAGTCACCATTTCCCTTGGCTGCTGCCACTCTGACTCTCCCACTGATGAATTGTGCCTGAACAATGAAGTGGGTGGTTTTACCATTAGGGCTAGAAAATCAACAACGACAACTTGCATTTATATAGCACTCTGCACGCAGGGTAGCCTCTCGGAGTCCTTCACAATGGGGCCCTACACGGTGAGCCCACCAGAAAGGGAAGGTGACCATAGCACAGTCAAAGAGGAAAATCTTCAAGTGGAATCTGATGAAGGGCCAGGATGGGGCAAGGCAGAAGCATGGAGACAGGGAATTCCAGAGGTTCGGGCTGTAGTGGCTGAAAGTATGGCTGCCAATGGTGATGCGGAGGAGTCAAGGGATGTGCAGAAGGTACAAACCCACCTGACAGCAACAGAGAGCAACAATAACCAGCATCAGACAGAGATTCTCTGTGTTAAAGGAAGATGTTAGAGAGTTTACTGGGTAAAATGATTGACTGGCACCAGAGTGATCCACCAACATCAGCCTTAGAAAGAAGAAGAAAGAACTTTAAGTCGGTGCATGTGAAAAAAAATCACATGTAATTTCCTAGATGTAAAAATACTACAAGGGGAGTGGAGTTTTCTTTGTTAAGAGCAAATGTGCCATTTCCTGACAACGTTGCCTTTCATGGGTATCGCCGCCCAAGATTGAAAGTCAGTTGCAGAAACACGTCACCAAATAAAGAAATGAAGAGTGAAAACATCCATTTTCCGTGTTAATGTAAGATTAGCTGAACGGCTGTTGATACACTGCGTGCAGAGGGATTCCTTTCGATTCACTATTAATCCTGTTGATTCTACACTGCTGCGATTTAATCTGATCTGAATTAAATGGTGTGTAATGCCTCACAGTTGTTTAATTTGGATTACGTTCAAATTAAATTAGGAAGGTGGCTTGACAGTTTGTTTGATTCACATCTGCTGAGGGCTTCATTAGCAGAGATTACCTGATCCAAAGAACCAGCCGTTATTGGCAACGAACGGGAAAACAAAATCTAGAATTGACCTTTCCTTTGGAATCCATCTGTTTCTTGTTAAAGTTCATTTGCTGCAGAGATAATATGCGTTGCCAAAGATAATTGCACCCGCTTCGGATTGGCTAAGAGGTGAACATTTCCTTACACTACGGATTACTTGACCAAAACATGACTTTACAGTTGTTTGGCAAAACTTTAAATATTGTTTGTTCGAACAGGATTAACATGGATAAATAACACTCATTGTATCTTTGAATGGTTTCACCTGTGGAATTGCACGGCAACATCAACTCAAGTATGTGTTGGTCATTTAAAGTACTCTAGCCTTCTGGAGTTCATGAGCTACAGAGATACATAGCTTAACTGCGCTGTTTTTAACTTGTTTGTGTAAATAGTAATAATCCTTGCATTTAATATTGCGCCTATAATGTTTCACCCACAAAATATCGAAGACTTTATAAGCTGCTACATCAAATGCAAGGATTATTATTATTATATTATTTAATATTCCCCTTTTCAAGAATCTATAAGCAGTTGTCCTCAAAGATAATTTACAGATCCTGGTTTGACAAGCGCTCTGGGGCAGAGAATTCCACAGTCCAAATGTTGCCTTCATAAATAATTTTTTCCAACATCCCCGCTAAGGATTTAGTGATTATTTAGACTTAATCCAAGGAGCAGCTTTGGTCTGTGTGGTGTGGCTCAGGGCCACACAGCGTTCTTGGTGCATCCATGAGAAGGGTGGGGCAAGATATTGCCTTCACCATTCTGTCACGGGAACAATGTGGGCCCTCTGTTTGGGCAGCCAGACAGGGGCAAGGAACGATGGCCTATTGGTGTCAATATTGTTGGCATGGCTGTGGTAACTGGCATTCAATAGAGAGCTCACTTGTTTCTTACTGTGGGTTGGTTACACTGAGGATCAAACAACACTCAGATAACAAAACCACAGCAGTCCTGTGGTCTCTGCTGATAAAGATCCCTCATGACCCACACCGCAGTTTCACTTCCCCGGCGAATCCTCTGTATGTCACGGTGACTCCCGAGGCTTTGGTCCCGAGGATCACTGGGGTCGGAGCTGAGGTCTCTCCGGATGGCCTGACTCACAGGAGAAAACACAAAGCAGCTCTTCTGTCACTTCTTCCAGTGCGAGACAACAATCACATGCTGGATTTACCCATTGAGCCATTTTGAAGCCTAGTTTTATTATTATTATTATTATTATTATTATTATTATTATTATTATAATCCTTGCATTTGATAAGCGCCCCTCACGTCATGTCAAAGCGCTTCACAGGAAATACTGTGTGTTTTGGGTGAACGGGACATTTAACCCTCCCTTCACTTGTCATTTCTGAGTGTTCAGAGGAGAGGAACAAGGATGATGGTGGTACTTAAGGCTCTTGTTTAGTAACAGAGACTCAACCTTTAGCTGTCAATTCACTTTACAGTATATTCTTTGAGACGACCTCTGACCATGAAAAGCACGATATCCAATGTAAGGATTAATATTATAATAATTTGATACAGCGCCTTATCATGTCGTTGAGGTGTCTTAAACCACTTCACTGAATATACTGTAAAGTTAATTGACTGTATATTTTGTGGGTGAAACACGGCAGCCAATTGCACACAGCAACGTCTCCACAAACAGTCATGGATTGAGTGAACAAATTATTTTTTTATATGGGATTATCACCACTGGAAAAGCAATCTGCCAAACGACTAACAATCGGGTTCCTACTTACTGCTGGGCAAACAGAGGCGTGTGGAGTCAGGAAACTTGCCTGAGGTTTTACCCTGCCCGGGAATCAAACCCAGATCCTCGCTGTATTATCCTCATTATCAAAGGAGAGGTGTTTGGGACAGCAGGGAGCTATGTAACAGGGAAGCTTTGACCCACAGTGGAGCAGTCAGGGTCAGTTGATTAATGGTTTATCTACATTTGGGACGTTTATTATTTCTCGTGTTGGAATCCTATCACAGCTCGGGACTTCTGATGTCATGTTTGCTCCAAGGCAGGAGGAGTTTGTTGCATTCCCAGCTGTTTCTACCCAAACATATCCTTCAGGGATCAGGGTATAAAAAAAACACACCAAAAGAAAAGCTTCACATGAAAACAGCACCAGATGCTGCGTTCGTAAGGGAGTGTTTTATTTCTTTTTTGAAAAAAAATCAAGTCAAACCTGATTTAAAATGAACGTGATCAAACTTTTGGGCGAGTGTTTTCTCTCTCTCCATCTTATGTACTTTTGATCTCTCTCTGGTGTGTTTGGCTTATAGAGTTCCAGAAATTCCCAGCTCTCAAATCTTTTTAAAACTTTCATCCTCTCCGGAGTGGTGAATAGTAATTTGTGTCTGACTTTAACAAAACGTTTTGTTTTACGCTTTTAATACCTGTTTTTTGTTCATTGTCAATCTTTCTCTGGTGGAGGAAACCCCTATAACAATAATCCTGGCATCTGATACAGCACCTTATCACGTCTTCGAGACATCTCAAAGCCCTTCACAGGATACACAGTAAAGTGAATTGACTGTAGATTTTGTGGGCGAATATATATATACATATATTCCATTAGAAAAGAGCAAAATGTGACAACATGTAACTGCAAATAGTAGTTTACAGTGGGGTTGCCTGGCGAGCTGGCAGGCAGGGTATTATTTAGTATTTTCATGGCTGTGAATGCTCTTTTTATATCAGCAATGCATTTTTTTTTAGTATTTTACTTGCCGTTGCAATGTTCCAATGAACATCAAAAGTATTAAACTGTTCTTATCCTGAGTGGAGACTGCTGTAGTTTAGCCAGCCGATAATTCCCTGCACTCGCCTGTTAACCAGGGAGTTTTGTGTGTGTGTGTGAGTGTGTGTGGGGGGGGGGTGGGGGGTAAGATTGACATCTGACAAGAGCGAGAGATGGGTGGGTGGGTGGGTGGGGGGCAGGAGTGCCACTTGTCCGTGTTTATCCAGCTGCCACCAGCTCTGTAAAGAAGCAAACCTGTTTAGTGATGGTCCCTAAGCACAAGAGGCAAGAGCCCTGTGATGATACTGATTGTAAACTCAATATGGTAGGAGGGTCAGACTTGGCTGCTGGTTAATTAGCCCAGCCCAACTGCAGTGTAACCAGTTGCTGTCTCTCTGCTAACTCCTCAGTGGTAGATGGACCGAAAAAAAAACTTTTTTTTTGCTTGCTGCACTCTCACACACACACACACACACACACTCTCGCTCACTCACAGAGCAACCCCTGTTGCAAGTCTCCAGAAGCCAGACGGGGGTGTTGTATCTGTCTATGCCTGCGCTCAAGCTTTGGATGAATTCTGGCTTCTCACTAGCCGTGGTCATCGCTCGCTCCTCGAGCCAACTTCTGTTCTGATTAAGAATCGTCGGAGGGTGTTTTTCTTGGGGATTTGTCTGTAGTGTATCAAAGCACCAACATGACACTTTTAGGCTCGGAACACTCTATGATGATCAGAAGCAAATTCAGATCAGGTAAGGTGAGAGCTTTGAAGTTGAAGCATATTTTATGTCGATTGCGACTGTATTTGCTGGGTTTTTTTTTCGATTTAACAATTTCTTTCAAGCCTTTTGCTTAAGGAAGCTTTACATTTTAAGCGTTGTATTCCAACAAAAAGGTAATCTAGTCTTAGTTTGTACAGAGATTGATTTGTGCTGATTTCCAGTAAGGCACACATTGATTCTCGTAACTTAGAGGAGCTTTGGATGTGAAGTTAGCTCATCTGTTTAAGTTTTAGATTTGATTATTAATGACTTTATTTGCAGACATTCTACAAAGACTTTTTTTTTAATGAATAAAAAAGTAAAGAATATCAGCAGTCAGTCTTTTTTTCCAGATTTAACATTGCTCATGTGATTCAGGTCTTCTGAAGAAACCTAATCAATAAAATTGACATCCGCGATTGCTCTCATTCCCAAGCGTCCCCAGTTTGTTTGTTTGCTGCTCAAAAGCTTTACTGTAAAACAAAATGAAAAAAAACCAATCATCTTATTTAACTCTCTGGGCCCAGTTCCTACTTGTAGATTGGGATACAATATAAAGTTTGGGACACGACATGTCAAGTGATTGCCAGGATGGTGGAAGGTGAACTGACATGGATCTTGTGTTCTTTCGTTCACCTAGCAAATTCTTATGTTCTTAGATTGTATCCGGCACCTAATAATGTGCATTTATTAGCTCGAATACAAGCATAATCTGTGCGTTTTACTCCGATTTGAAAAAATACCTTCCTCCACATTATGTACTCGCTAATTGTTCGTTATGTGCAACGATGTTGTGTGTGCTCCTGTTTATTGCACGCATTGAACCTCGTCCTCTGTTGCTACGTTGTTTGAAAATAATTAGTCAATTGGTTGAAAAGCGTAATAATCCTTGTGTTTGGTACAGAGCCTGTAATGTTGAAACATCTCCGAGCACTTTACAGCAATTACCTCTAAACGTGGCCACTGTGTATTTGTAGGCGAGCGCGGCAGCCAATGACAAAACCAATGACATTGGCTTTCGAGCGGAGTTTTCTGATTGTTTATTTAGTACCAAAACCGTCCTGTAAAACCCAGCAATTTCAAAGCTTTCCCACTACCCTCGCGAGTCCTGACAGTTTCACCTTTGTGTAAAACCTTATTGGCTTGGCTTTATTTTACCGTCACCAACATAGGCAATGGCTACAAGCGCAACTTAGTGCGTGTAGGACAGACTTTTATATAGGAAAAGTACATTGGAATTAGTCAGGTGAAGATTGTATGTGTGGTCACTGATCACTTGGTGCGTTGTTCCCCTGGTGAGTTTCGGTGCTTCTAAATGGGGGTGTGGTGCCAGTTTAAATGCCCTGCTGTTTGTCCCTGCTGTGATAAGGGCTGAGACTTCACTGCTTTGAGAAAAGGAGCAGCATTTGTGAGCGTGGAATCCAAATGCTCGCTTTCGGGCAATGAAACCTGCTCATATCAACTTTGTGCAGCTCCTCAACTCTGTGACAACACTGCCACCTTCCTGAGAGGAATTATAATTGAATTTGACGTTTCACATTTCATTCATGTTTCTGTTCACCGTGAACGTTTAGATCCCATTCCATAGCTGCTAACACCCTTGTGGGTTTGACGCCCACCCCCCCAACAACGCTCTATATTGACACCAGATTGTATAAGTTCTTGGAGATGAGTTACAGTCTTTTCAATTTTGATGCCTTTTTTCCCCCCCAAGTTTTTTTTTAGACAACAGGAAAATAGTTTCTAAATTAAGACACAATTGAAGAATATTGCACACTCAGACACACAATAATAATAATAATCATCCCTGTATTTGATATAGTGCCTTATCACGTCATTGAGATGTCCCAAAGCGGTTCATAGAATATACTGTAAAGTGAATTGACTGTATATTTTGTGGGTGAAACGCAGCAGCCAATTGCGCACAGCAGCGTCCCACAAACAGTCGTGGATTGAGTGATCAAATTATTATTTTTTTGAAAGATTTATTACTCCCAGAAAGCAATCCGCCAATCGACTAATAACCAGGTTCCCGCTTACTGCTAGGTAATCAGAGGCATGTGGAGTAAGGAAACTTGCCTAAAGTTTCACCCTGCCTGGGAATCGAACCTGGGTCCTCTTGCTTGCGAGGTGAGTGTTTTAAGCACTACACTATAGGAAAGCTGAGGAAATAGCACAGGTTTAGACCCGGGTGGAATTTTTCCCTCATTATGAGAAAGGCTTTTGCGCGGCTGATATGAACTGATATGGCTGTTGATGTCCAGTGAATTCTGGTTGCTCCACACACAAACCCACCAGGCCAGATGAACCTGAGGGAGTTTTAACTGAAGCTGCACTATCTCTCTATGAAACACTTTTCATAGATAGAATTGAGATGGAAACCGAAGCCACGTTAAACTCTTTTAAATAAATGTTCCTGGATTTTGTCAAATATCAACCAGGTCTCCCCATATAGGGTCTCCCACGTTACGCCCACAGAATATACAGTCAGTTCACTTTACAGGATATTCTGTGAAGCTGAGACGTCTCGAAGTCGTGATAAGGCGCTGTATCAAATGCAAGGATAATTATTTGAAGGGATTGGCTGGAGGAGCAACTTAGAGTAATACAGACCAGACGGTGTGTATTGAGCTGCTCTGAGCAGGGGCAGTGGTTCGAGGAAGCGGGGGTTACAATCAGCCTAAACTCATCATTCGGCGATCCTGCTCCAGATTGCCACCTCCATTGGAGGTTGGCTGAGTGAGGACAGGAGGACAGGATCGGGGTTTGGCTGTGATGCTCCCCCCTCTCCCCATCGTCAACCAGCCTGTCAACACCCACTGTCGCGGCACAGATAGGAACACTAGTTACTTGGCACAGTGAATGGGCATCAATGGTGCCTGGTTGATACCTGGGCAACATCACCCCCCTTCCCCCCCCCCCCCCCTCGCCCCAGGAGAAGGGAGATAAAGACTTGCCTGTCTTCAGGAGAGGTGATACATTGGTGAGAATTGTTTTTTTTTACCAAACAGAACTTGTTATAAATATCAGCCACGCCTAGAATGTTTGTTGAGATGGGACAATCACGTTAATCCCGGAATGGGGGTGATTCCCAACTGTCGACTGAAGTTCTTTTTTCATTGCGAATGTGATGTGGGTTTAAATTTTTCTTTTGATATTTTTCTTTTTGTTTCCTCGAGCAGTGAGAGTCACCGATGTACTTCACCGACTGAAAGTTTGATTTATTCCTTGCAAGCTTTTTTCCCCCTGCAGAGCGAAGAAAGAAAATGAAAGAGAGAGAGAAACGAGGCAGAGAAAAAAATGAAAGAGAGAGACAGAGGCAAGGTAGAGAGAAGATGAAAGAAGGGAGAGAGAATGAGAGAGAAGACGAGAGAGAGAGAAAACGAGAGAGGGAGAATGAGAGAGAAAGTAGAGAAAGAAAAAAGACGAGAGACAGAAGAAGAATTAGTCATAAAGAATCTTAAGTGACTCATTATGATAGTTGTCTCACTCACACACACAGAGAGAAATAATTCCATAATTCACACCCACACTGCAGGTGCGATACAGATACAAGGGATTCGAGTGAACGTTTCTGTTTCAGATTGCAGCCGATTCCTGTTTACAAATTGGAATGAAGTTAATTATGCAATAGTTAACAATTGTTGCGTTTGATTTCATGTCGGGAGCACTTCTCAAAATGATTCACAGGATTTACTGTAATGTGTAATGACGGGTTATCTTGCGGGCAATCTCGACAGGCTATTTGTGCACAGCAAAGTCCCACAAAGAGCCACAAAGTAAGTTGACAAATCGTGAATTGGTCATGTCAGGGAAAGAGGCCTTTTTATGGTGTGAACTCCCTTCAGAATATCGTCAACTGCAGTGTCTTTTTTCTTTTGGCAGGCACAAATGTGCCAGCAACCATTTTTGAGTCAGGAAGTTCCCACAAACAGCACAAGGTCATTAGTTAATTAATCTGGCGGATTGCCAGCCAGGACACCGGGAGAAATCCCCCTCTCTTTTCCAGTAGTGCCACACGATTGATAACGGCCACCTGAAAACAGGCAGACGGGGCCTTGAGCTTTTTAGTGGACAGAGGAAGGAACAACAACAACAACAACAAGATTCCATTTATAAAGCGCCTTTCACGTCAGGAGGACGTCCCAAGGCGCTGCACAGTTGGGTCATGACCCGAGCAGGGCGGAAATGGTCAGGGTGAGGGGAGGGGAGGGAGCGAGGAGGGGGGAAATGGTCAGGGTGAGGGGAGGGATGGGAGGGAGCGAGAAGGGGGAAGAGAGTCGAGAGGGGAGCTGAAGGCTCGGTCAAAGAGAAACAGTGGTAGCAAATGGTGACTTTATTATTGAAAGTGAACGAAAATGGCTTGGGTCCAGCAGAACTGAAAACTAAAACACTTCGTGTAATGTCAGCACTGACTGTTTTAATTTGTCTGTATATTGTCAATGTATTTAAGAGAAAGTTTGTTGTACACAAGTGGGGAGAAGGGAATACAAGGGAACAGAAGAAAGGGGGCCTTCTATATATGGCATATGAACACCAACATGCAGAGGTTGGGCCAAATGGCTCACCTCGTTATGTAATGTAATTGTATGGATAGGTTTTTAAAAGGAGGTTCCATTCGGGATTGAACGTGGGATGAAGTTGGGAGCTTCCCTGTCTCTTCACTCCCTAAATTGTTCAGCGTGTTTTTTTCTTTTGTACTGAAGCTTTGCGAGGTCTGGTAGGGCCTAAGGTGCCCTCAGTCAATCTAGTTTACAAGCCTACTGTAAACTGCACTGCACAATTTATCACCCTGGGTATCAGCCCTGACACCTCAATGCGTAGATGCAAATGGGGTCCCAAGATATTACCATATTAACAGCGAATTGATTACTCCACACAGCCACGGAGATGCCAATGCAGTGATATCTGAACTCCCTTGACATCAAACTGTTGGCTTCAGTCCATAATGTGCAGAGGCTGATCAGGGAATACGATTCTTTCACACACCGTGGATGTAGCTTCAATGTCAGCCTGGCTCAGTTTATATCACTTTTGCCACTGGCACAGAAGTTTGTGGGTTCAGGCCCCATATTGGGGTTTGAGCTCACAGTCCAGGCTGACACTCCAACGCATTAGGTGGTGAATTGTCATGATTGTATTTGTAGCTGATGTGTGCATAGCAATGTCCCATAAACATTAAATACATACGTGTTTACCTCTCAGCACAAGTCCCAACTGTCTCTGAATGTTCTTATATGTTCAGCCAGTTGTGGTTCCATTTCAAAGGAGGTGATGAATCTGCCCACGTCCACACTGACATGGCTCGAGGCCTGTGCGGTGGCTACATGGGTCTGGACAGCTGCCGGCTGCTCGAATCACATGTCCCTCAAATGAGGTGTGAAAGTCAGATGGCTTTGCCCTTGCGTTGGACATTACATCAATCGTTTGGGATGTTTTCCCCGATGTGAAAGGCGCTGAATTTAAATAGATATTGTTTTATTTTATTGTAAGACCAGAGTTTTGGGGGATTGACGTGACTCTATGTGGACTTTCAATTTAAACCATTTCACAATACAATTTACATTTGTAATAATAATAATCTTTGCATTTGATACAATCCCTTATCACGTCTTGGAGACATCTCAAAGCACTTCTCAGGATACACTGTAAAGTGAATTGACTGTAGATATTGTGGGCGAAAAGCAGCAGCCAATTGCACACAGCAGCGTCCCACGCACAGTCAAGAATTGAGTGACTCGTTATTGTGGTTAATTAGCAGCGAGATCCAGAGCCTCAGTGTCATACATTACAGAACTGATCACACACTGGAAATTCCCAACAATTGAATTACATTGATTGTGTTGGTTAAGACTTGGCCCTGGGCTCAGAATCGCTTTCCCTCTTCAGCCTCCAGATATCTCCAACAGGTCCTCGGAGGTCAGGATGACAGTGACACACAACTGCTATTCTACAGAAACAGCAGTGCGAAAAGAGATTCCTCCAACACGTTTCCATTCCCCGTTCCCTGTTGTCGCTGCACAAGGTTGCTAGTTATTAATAATAATAATAATCCTTGTATTTGATATAGCGCCTCATCACGTCGTCGAGAGTCTCAAGTTATTGGTACCCTGCAGCCCTACACAGACAGACGCCCCATCCCCAGAGAATCTTTCCCAGAGAAACGATCTTTCACTTTCATTGCATCTATCACATAAAAATCACTTTACCGCAGATTACTCAGTCCCTAAGAATGGTTAGTGACTGCTTTTAGTTATTGTTGCTAAACGATTTTCATGAGCAAACAACCATGACATGAATGACCCAACGGTGTCCCAAAAACATCGTGGATTATGTGACTAAATTATTTGAAAGGATGGAGTGACCAAATTTTTTTTTTGAAGGGCTTATTACCCCTGGAAAAGCGACCTGGGTTCCTACTTACTGCTCGGTAAACAGAGGCGTGTGGAGTAAGGAAACGTGCCTAAGGTTTCGCCCTGCCCAGGAATCGAACCCGGGTCCTGTTGCTTGCGAGGCGATCGCTCTAACAACATATTGAAGAAACTTTATGAAAGCTAAGTCAGAAAGCTTTTGGGTGGAAAACAAACATCTGTTAAGAGTATGAACAGCAACTAGAGACAGTGTGCAATTCACAAAAAAAACTTCACCTGGGAGATGAGGTGTTCACTTGCACTCGAGGTGCAACACGTCAGCTGGTATATAGCAAGGGAAAGGCAACTAACTGCCTGGGGTGATTTCTTACCTTCACTTGATCTTTTCTGCCTTATCCACTTTACAGTATCTCCTGTGAAGCGCTTTGAGACGTCTCAACGATGCGACAAGGCACTATGTCAAATGCAAGGATTATCATAATAATAAAATCCTTGCATTTGACATAGCACCTTATCGCGCTGTCGTGTTTCGCCTACAAAATACACAGTTAATTCTCTTTACAGTATATTCTGTGAAGCGCCTTGAGTCGCCTCGAAGACGTAATAAGGCGCTGTATCAAATGCCAGGATTAATATTATTACATGGGTCTCACTCACCCTCTCTCTTCCTCCCTCCGTCCCTCCCTTCCCCGTGAACAGACAGCACTTCTAGTAAACAAATATTCTCTGCAGGTTCTGACACGACTTTAAAAGCTTCCTTTTCAGGTACTTGCTCCTGAGGGTGTGCCATGAACCAGCTCAGAGCCGTGGCACAATCTTGCCATCGCTCCCATTCACTTTCATTTTGAAAGAGAATATATTTGGAAGTTCCTGGGGAGACGTTTGGTGGTGGGGGGGGAGGGCGGGGGTGCTATTGATCTTCTATCGAGATAATAGTTGCCATTGACCCCAAGGAGAAACGAGAGGTATTATTATTGAATGCTCTGACGTGCAGTAAGAAATACATTATGATTAAGGCCTTGGACAGGCGAGACTACTGGACAGAAACACTTTCCAACCAGCTCCGAGCACAGGATGGCAGCTGTCACTCTCTCTGTGTCTGCAACGGGAGGTTAAAAAGAGGTTTGAGTTTTTAACTTTTAGCTTTGATCTTTCTTATTAGCTTATCTGGCTGAGCCGCGGTGTTTTAATATAGGCGTGGGCAAATCCCTGCTGAGTGTGTGCGCTGGATCTGGACGCTGGATATAAAACAGGTTATCATTTATATTGTGGTGACAATTCAGAGGAAATTGATGCCTCATGTGGGCTTCTTTTGTCCTCTTTGAATTTACCCTTTAGCAGTGTTTGTGACAGACTGTGTTTGTGTGAGTGAGAGAGAGAGGGAGAGAGAGGAACTGTGTGTGTGTATATAGCTGTCTGGTTGGGTGTATCTGTGTGTAACTATAGGTAGGTTTGCGTTGAGGGGGGGTGTGGAACCCTGTGAGTTGACTTTATGTATAACTCTGAGTTTGACCGTGTGTATGAGAGAGAGAGACTGTGTGTGGGTGGTTGGGTGGATAAACTTGCATTGAAAGTTCTGGTATTACGATCGTTGATCGCATTCTGTGACAACCGGAGGCCATTACTGCAGGAAACTCACACAGTCACGTCTGGGTTAAGTGGCCAGAAGTTACCGGACTTAATGTGGATCCTCACTACACGGCTCAAGACATGACAGATAGCAATATCCCGAACAGCTCCATTGGTGCTTGTGTGTGAAAACCTACAGTTTCCGACAAGATTCAGTAGTGGCAATAACAACAACAACTTGTGTGTATAGAGCTCCTTCACGTGGGGTAGTGTCCTGGAGCGCTTGACAGTGGTGGAGTGTGACACTCTGCTGTCTGGCAATAATGACATATGACAGTAAGACTGGGAGTTAGCTTGGGGACCTGGCAATATTTGAGCTTAGTACCTTTGCTGTAATATTCCAGGGCAGGACCACACACCACAGAGAGCACGAGAAGAGGAGGGGGTGTTGTTGTAAAGCAGAGATTATGTTTACAATCGAGCATCCTGTTTTAATGAAATACGTGCAAGGTTGTGTTTTTCTGTAACCCTCAAAAAAACGTGCATTCCTTCAAGTTTGTGTGCAGCTGCTCCGGTCAGACCGAAGGTACGGCTTGTTTTTATTGAAGATATGTGGTCTGCGGTACATCGGCACTCAACTCCGATCACTTTCCTCCATGTCAAGCCGTGAGGACGCTATAAAAGTCCGAGTTGTTGTTGTAAATTTCCCACGGCGCTATGAGTTTAAGTTGTGTTAAACTTCAGTGTACATGTACCACTGTAGTATGAATGCACTATGGCAGTCATGATATTCTCTCCGGTCGACACATACCAAATGAATCTGTAAAAATTCCTGTTTTATTCGTGCTTTTTGAAACGTGAAGGTATTGAAGTACTTACAGGCCATTATTCCTCATGTGTAAAGCGTGAATTGCCGTTGCCATTCAATGATACAATTAACAACTAATGCATTTTTACACTTGTTTATTACAGAAAAATATTAGGAAATGATTGTTTCTTTACATGCTCCAGAATAACACTTTGGGGCATTTAGTCTGGGTTGGGATGTCAGTAAACGTTGTCATTGAGGTTCCTGACGTAATTTCAACCCCAAGACATGTTGCTGTCTCAGCACACTCTGCAGATTATACGCACCAGACTCGGGGCAAAGGAGATAGTATTCAGCAAGATACAAGGAGGATGGGAGGGGAGACTCAATGTGTTTTGTAGAAGTTTGACACCTAACCAGGAGGATATAAACTAGACATCAGTTTGAAGATAGCGATTTGGCAGAACACTCTGTTGCTTTTCCAAAAAAAAACTACAGGGAAAGGAGGTGAATTAAAATCTCAAAGGCTTAACTGACTGTCTGTCTGTGAAACAGGCCGTATTGCTCGCACCCTCTGCCTGTGCTGTGCTGTGGTTACAACGTCTTAGAGTGTCACGCTATCGATCTACCTGATCTCAGACAGGTACCCTAGCCTCCTTTAGCTGAGCTGAGATCATTATAATAATAATAGTTCTTGCATTTGATATAGTGTCTTATCAGGTCTTCAAGACATTTCAAAGCGCTTCAGAGAATATACTGTAAAGTGAATTGACTGTATATTTTGTGGGCGAAACGAAGCAGCCAATTGCGCACAGCAGCGTCCCCACAAACAGCCGTGGATTGAGTGACCAAATTATTATTATTTTTAGTTTCATTTTTGAAGGGATTATTATCTCCGGAAAAGCGATCCACCAGTCGACTAACAACCAGGTTCCTACTTACTGCTGGGTAAACCGAGGCGTGTGGAGCAAGGAGAAAGGGACCCTTCGTAAGGTCTCGCCCTGGCCGGGAATCAAACCCGGGTCTTGTCGCTCGCGAGGCGAGTGCTCTGTCCACTGAGCTACAGTTTGCCTCTGGGTTGTCGATGACCTGCCCTGTGTAATTGTTACTCTCTCTTCATCGCAGTTCTGCAGCTCAGGCTCCAACAACGCAGGACCCGCGAGCAGCTGGCAGACCAGGGCATCATGCCACGTGAGTACATACAACCAAGTACAAACCAGATCCGATCACAGCCAGCAGGCAGCCCCTGCCTGCCATTCGTGGCGTTCTACACCGACTGCAAGCTGACATTTATCTCCTTAAACTCACTCCCCCTGTCGCTGAGGTCTAAATGGTTTTATTTGCTAGGGTGGGGGTGGGGGGAAAGGGGAAGAGAGTCAGGGAAATCCCCTCTAGGTCTAGATTTAAACTTTTTTTCCGCCGAGTTTTAGAACGTGCAAATCTCGCAACGTTCTTGAACTGCAAAAAAATACGGTTTCGAAACGAACTTGGAGAATGGTCTGCAAATCCCCTCACTCTTAAACACGAAGGAGAGAGAGAGAAAGAAATCTCAAACCCAGACCCAGATGGAATTTTTCCTCCCCCGAAGCAGTCCAGCTGTTTCAAGTCTTCTGCACGTGTGGGCTAACTGAGCACTGAGCAAATGAGTACTGGGGGTAGCTGTTTCGCAGACCTGAGAGAGAGAAGTGTGTTAGAGTGTGGCACTTTGACAAACACACTGTCAAACGTTAGATCTTGCCCCACTTCCTCTCGCACTTATTAAGAGGATGTGGCACTTTATTCTCAATCTGTGCAATTGAGTTGACAAAGGTAGAGATTACGACTGATTTGGGAATATACACTGGAGAAATGGAGCTTCTGTTTGTGGCTGTCCAAAGAGAAGGCCAACCAGTGTGTCTCAGGGATGGGCACATCCCAACCCCCCCTCCCCCCCCACCCCCACCCCGTGGCTATTATAATAATAATCTTTGCATTTGATATAACAACATTTGTTACGAGAAAGTTCTGTGTCGTGAAACAGTCCATTCACACGAGATCTGAAATCAACTCACAGACAAATTCTAATCCACCACAAACTCTAACTATTTGTATTTACTGAGATAAATATTTTTCACTTGTGTTATTTTTTTAAAAATAAGTAAATTAAATCCTTTTCAGCTTTAACTCTTGTTAACTCTTCATCTAAATGGATCAGCTTCAATCAGTCATTATACTGGAACCCAGTTGTTAGTCGATTGGCGGTTTGCTTTCCGGGAGTAATAATGCCTTCCAAAAAATTAATAATAATAATTTCGTCACTCAATCCACGATGTTTGTGGGACACTACTGTGCGCAATTGGCTGCCATGTTTCACCCACAAAGTCTAGCCAATTCACTTCATGGTATATTCTGTGAAGCGCTTTGAGACGTCTCGAACACGTGATAAGATGTTGTATCAAGCGACTGTTGTTTATGTGCAGATACATTTGAACAAAACAACTTCCCACAAACAACCATTCAAGTGAATGACCAATTTTATTTCGGGGGATTATTGGCCAGGAACCTCCCTTCACTTTTCAGATAATGCTGCAAGGCTGGGCGGTCCTCACTGGATAAGTGCCGGGTTTTCCCTGATGTGATTAATGCTTCTGTTTTTTTCAGAGCAGCTTAGAATTGCTGGAGATATGTACTTGCACGAGTCTGTACAAGTGTTAACCTGGGTTGTTGCTCAATCACTCATCGTGAACACAATGGGGGAAGGAGGTTGGGTTGATTCCCACCCACTTGTGTATATACGTCAGGGGGCAAATATTCCGAGCCCATCTTCAGAGTCCCCATCTCCCCAATTTTAACTGGTTGTGTGTGTGTGTGTGGGTGGGGGGGTGGGGGAGTGCGGGGGGCGGAATTGTCATGGAGATTGTCATGGAGACTCCTGAGTGGAGTCCTGTAGCTCAGTGGTTAGAGCACTCGCTTTGCAAGTGAGAGACCTGAGTTCAATTCCAGTCAGGGCGAAACCTTGGGCAAGTTTCCTTACTCCACACAGAGCCTAATAATAATCCTCCAAAAACAATAATAAATTGGTCATTTTCAATCTACGACTGTTTGTGGGACATTGCTGTGCGCAATTGGCTGCCGCGTTCGCCCACAAATATACAGTCAATTCACTTTACAGTATATTCTGTGAAGCGCTTTGGGACGTCCTCCCGACGTGAAAAGCGCTATATCAAATGCAAGGATTATTATTATTATTATTATTATTATTTAGCGCAAATGTGAAGCGTGTAAATTGGGCGTGAGGCAGTGTAAAAACGAGGCAGTCATGGTCGAAGAGGTAGGTTTTAAGGCAGAAGTTAAAACAGATAGAGAGGAGGAGAGACAGAAAGGGGTAAAGGGAGACAGTTCCAGAGGACAGGAATATAGTATCAGAAAGGATTATTATTGTTAGAAAGCAATGGTGGAGCAAACCACAGTGAATGCGAATCTCATTCACCATTGACAGGAGGTAACAGCTGTGCTTGGGGAAAAACACTGGCATGGCTTTGGCCACTTGGTGGTTTATCACACAGTATAATATAGCAGGCGGCTGAACAGGTGATCTCAGGGTTCGGTAAGGTTTACATGTCCCTCTCCTGAGTAAGCGGAAAGGTCAGTCTGCAAAAGACATGATGTCAGGATACAAAATCTACTGTACTACATAGCAATGTGTATGTCTGCCTTCCACTTAGCTTTTATTTTCTTTCATTGAGAGACAATTTCTGTTCACTTCTTCCCAGCTGTCTTTACTAAATGTTCCCCAACACAGTAGAGAGATAGCCCGGAGGTTAGTCTTACTCCACCTGGTCATCTTTGGGTCAGAAGGTTGTAGGTTCAAGCCCCCATATCAGAGATTTGAGCTCACAGTTGAGACTGATGCTCCCATGTAGAACTGGGGGAAACACTGTATTGTCAGAGATGTGATCTTTCAGGTGACATATAACAGAGATTTTGTCTGTCAGTTGAATGTTGCTCATTCACAGCCTGTTTTTGTGGGATTTTGATGTATTTTACTACAATTACAGCATGTGAGAGCTCTTACCTCTGCTTCAGACCTTCTCACGTAGTAGTTCAACATCTTCTAACAATGCAAACCCAGACTCCAGTAATACCGTCCAGTATATATCATCCCAAAGCTCAGGATTTCTCCACCTTAAATCCTCCTTCTCCCAGTTCAAAACCCTTCTTTAAAACAACAACAACAAAAACTTACCTCTATGACCACACGATCAGTCACCTCCCCAATGTCTGTCCTGAAATTGCCCCTTTACAACTGTAAACTTTTGTCCTCTTGTTCTTTGAGATGTAAAGTGGGTGAAAGAGGTTGAATAAGTCCGAGCTGTTGTGGTCGTGCCCTGCGTGTTTCAGATAGTGCTCAGCTGCAACTCGCTCAATTTCACTGTCAGAAGCACAATCTGACTCCTTGTGGATGAAGTAAACAGCACCAGGTGTGGAGCAGAGCTCAGCACAATCTCAATTCAGATCAACAGTATCAGAAAACCCAAAGTCTAGAATCAAATGCGATTACGCCGTCGGCAAAACCCACCCTGAGCGCGATCACCCCTGCACAGCTTTCTTACAAAGAAGCCAATAAAACTATTTTCTCTTCGAGAAGTGCCCGGGTGTATTAGAAGCCCTTCATTGCTGATGTGCTTCTAATATTGGTGCAGAGGAAACATGTTCAACTTTTTTTTGGGACAAGGCAATTGCTATCTCTTAGGTACAGTTCTTTGAGTTTTTTTCTTGAGCATTATTATTAAAAGTAATCATTATCATTAATATATTCCTTGCCTTTCATATGGCACCTGTAATGTAGTAATGTAATAATGCAATGTTATAGTGTCCCAAAGCGCTTCACGGAGCTACAATTGCTGTCAAGTGTGGTGACTGTGTGTTTATAGATAGACACAGCAGCCACCGCACACAGCAAAGTCCCACAAACAGCCATGAAGTGATTATGAACTGGTTTATCTGGAGAATTGATTAAAATGGAAGTGGTTCTCACAGATACCATGTCTCTGCGCTACAGTTTGGCTGTTCATGGATTGTGTTTGTAGATGTGGAATGTTTTACAGCTGATTGCAATGAGGAGCCTCCCTCCTCTCAATAGGTAAGGTGGGGATGAATGTGAATTAGACTTCATGGCTTTCCTTTAACCCGTGAGTGAACTCCTGACGCTTCTTCAGGTGCAGAGCATGTGGGATATGCTCGCTGTAAGTTTGTTCTGACTAAGAACTGATGGCAAAGGGGAAGAATTGTGATTATAGTTAGAGACCTACCTCTTGGGCTTATGTTATGGCACCTCCACCCTCTCCCCCACCTCTCAATGTCCAATCACACTAATGTGTGTGGGACTCTCAGACACAAGGAGGGGTGGCCTCTCCACAAATAGCTCTTCAGGTCTGGCCCACAGTCTAATTACGTATGTGTCGTTTTGAAGTGTGTGAATGTGATTTTGAGAAACAGAACCTAATGATTTGAGTTTAAATTTTTTTTCTTTGTTGATCCAGCACTGAAGAGCCCAGGGACGTTCCACGAGCAACGGAAAAATCTAGAAAGAGCTAAGGTACGGCCTGCACATGCAGAAAGCAGACAGAACAGAAACTAATGTTTTCAACAACGACAACTTGCATTTATACAGAACCCTTCACTTGGGGTAGTGTCCCAGAGCACTCCCTCATTTGTTTCTCCCACAAAATATACAGTCAATTCACTTCAGAGTATGTTCTGTGAAGTACTTTGAGACGTCTGCCTGTTCAGGTGGTTATTAAAGATCCCATTCCAAAAGGAAATTGGAGTTTCTCTGGCCAACAATCTCCTTAAATAAAATTGGTCATTCACTCCATGGCTGTTTGTGGAACATTGCTGTGTGCAAATTGGTTGTCGCCTATAAAATACACAGTCACTGCATTTTACAGTATATCCTGTGAAGCTCTTTGAGACGTTCTGATGTGGAAAGCGCTGGACCAAATGTGAGGATCGTTATTGCGCAGAATTGCGGGAAACAGTCTTGAAAGCCAAAGCTGGTGGGAATTCAAGACTCTCGCACTCCACCCCCCTCCCCCCCCAAGATACCATGTGGGGTTGGAAGAAATATTTATTTGTTCGGGATCAATTTTCCCTGCTGTTTGTCGAGATGCTCAGCTGCAAGTAACTGATCGGTGACAGAACGTGTTTCGCGTTTGAACATTCCCCATGTGCGTACGTAGCTGTGCTGTCTGATGGTGGGGGGGATGATGTGAAAGGTGGGTAAGAGGCAACAAGCGGCTTCATGTCTGTAGCGTCTTCCAGCTGTTAGTGGTTGAAACACACCATCCCTTCAAAAGACACGTGTTGTGTTTTGATGGTGGAAGGCATTTTTGACTTTCGGCCAGAACGGCGTCTTTAAACTCTTACGAAACATTTATTCTGCCACATACTGCTGGGAATATTCAAAGTCCCGCGCTGCTTTGTGAAGTGGTTCGGCTCGCGTCAGGCATTTTATTCTCAAATTGCGGCTGAAACGTCGTCGTGTTAAGAGAATAGGAAGTGCAGAAGAGGGACGTTCCATTGTGGGTCACAACTGACCTGGCGACCAGTGACAGGGATGTTATAGGTAAAAACAATCAACGTGTCCTTCTTATAGAAAAATAAAGGTTTGACATGCTAAATCATTGAGTTTAGATCCCAGACTCTGGTGAGGCCGCACACAGTTCTGGTCACCATGACATCAGGAGGCGCTCCAGGCTTTTAGAGGCCGTGCAGAGGAGAGCAACGAGGATGATCCTGAGTGTTAGAAGGATGAGCTGTGAATAATGATTAGACAAACTGGGGCTCTTCCTGGGAGAGGGCGACATAGATGGGGATAAAATTCAAGCTGTAAAGGCCAATTTCAGACAGAAATACCAGGAAGTTTTTCTTTATGTGGAGGGTAATCAACAACTGGAACAGGTTGCCAGGAAAGGCGCTAGAGGCCAGGACACTAGATTCATTTATAGAGCGGTTTGATGCAGTGATGACAGGACAGTAGGGTGAGTGCTCTGGAGGAATGAGATCGGATGGGCCGAAGGGCTTTCTTAATCCAAAGCTAAGCTTTAGCCCCCATACGCTCTGTAAGTTGGAAGGAAAGCGGGCTGCTACCAGCTACTGGGGCTTAATTTTATTTCCCCTTCACTGAGCCAGACCTTTCTAATCTGTTACTGATCACTTACTTTATAGACAGAAGACTACTTAAAGCACAAGATTAGAAGCAGACCTGAGAGAGCCGAGTTGGTTAATATGCACATTTTACAAGGTAAGTGTTCAGCCGTACTTCAGAAGTGCTCTCATCAGTGCATTGCCCTTTCAAAGACATCTTTCAGCGCCTTGGGACGTCCTCCTGACGTGAAAGGCGCTTTATAAATGGAATCTTGTTGTTGTTGTTGTTATCTTTAAAAGTTTTGGTAGTCCACACACCTGGTTACCTCGCAGTAAGATCATTTTTCCGAGAGTGATAATCCCTTCCAAAAAACATAATAATAATAAATTGATGACTCAATCCACGGCTGTCATGGGACGCTGCTGTGCGCACATGGCTGCCGTGTTTTGCCCATAAAAATTACAGTCAATTCACTTCACAGAATAATCTGTGAAGCTCTTTGAGACGTCTCAAAGACATGGTAAGGCACTATATCAAATGCAAGGATTATTATTTATTATCTTAGAGGGAACCTTAGAGAGGTAATTAAAACTTTAAACCTTGTTAAGAAGAAGTAGACCCAAGGCAATACTGTCAGATGCACCAAGACTGTAGAACAATAGAACGTAGGTTTGCAAAGAGCAATTTCAAGACAGACACCAGGAAGTATATCTTTACCCACAGGGCAATTAACAACTGGACAGGTTGCCAGGTTAGGGTGTTTGTGGCCAGAATGCTGGACTCATTCAAAAAATGGCTTGATGCTGTGTTGGGAATGGAGTAGGGTGGGTATAATGGAAGGAGGAGATCAAATGGGCTGAAGGGGCTTCTTCATCCAAACCATGATCTTGTGTGAACTGGTATCAAACGGTGAAGCCAGTCAGACAAGGTATCAAGCCCTTTGAGGACATTATTGTGCTAAGGATGTGCTTCTTGGTCTAATAGATACACCTGCGGTGGGAACACTTCAGGCCACTCAGCTGAAGCTGAAGAGAGCCAGGCTGGCTGATGACCTCAATGAGAAAATAGCCCAACGACCTGGGCCCTTGGAGCTGGTGAAGAAAAATATAATTCCAGTGGATTCGGCCGTGAAAGATGCCATCAACGGTACTTACAAAGTTAAACATTGGAACATGGTTTGGATCTTGTACAGTTTTCTCTCCTGTTTTGTAATGTTTAAACATGTAATAACAATCTATTGGTTTCACTTTCTTTCCCCCAATTTAGTACATTGCTTTGGCCCAAAATCTTAGGGTTGGGCAATGAAACATCATGCCCTCGGAAACAACACTGGTGGCACCTGGAGACTTGGTCAGTCTTTCGGCTAAACCATTGAACCCAGGTTTGGGGAGGTTCTGTTTACACCTGATATCAGCTCATTGAAATTTCTGCAGCCTGTAATAATAATAATAATAATTATCCTTGCATTTGATACAGCGCCTTATCATGTCATTGAGACGTCTCAAGGCGCTTCACAGGATATACTGTAAAGTGTAGTGACCAGCCAATTGCGCACAGCAGCGTCCCACAAACAGTCATGGATTGAGTGACCAAATTATTATTATTTATTTATTTATGAAGGAATTATTGCTCACTGAAAGCGATCTGCCAGTCGACTAACAACTGAGTTCCTACTTACTGCTGGGTAAACAGAGATAAACAGAGTAAGGAAAATTGCCTGAGGTTTTCCCAGGGATTGAACCAGGGTCTGCTCGCCTGCGAGGCGAGTGGTCTAACCGCAATGCTGCAGGACTCTCAACGATTGCCAGTGTTTGCAATCACATGGTTGACCCAATGGTTGGAGTCGCCGGTGGCTGAGCGCTCGAGCTGAAGTGAATGGGAAACGGCTTAACCCCAATAAATGCCTGTATCCTCATCGAATTTGGAACAAAAGAAGAGAGCTGGAACAGGAGGCAACTAATGGATGTGGAGCTGTCTCTCTGCTGACATCTAGCACATAGCTGAAGGCTGATATCAGAAGCTGTTTATACCAGGATCCTGTCAGCACCCTCAGCAAAGAATCTGAAGTCCAGCCCCAAGAAATGTACAGTGGCTGATTCCATTACATTCAGAGATTGCTACAGACTCACTGGCTCCTGACATGAAGTGGGTTGATTTCTGGGCTCGATAGGAGATAGGCAGAGAGTATGGGACCCGTCACCTCCACATTCCCCGGATGACTGAGGCTGGGAAAAGCATTTGAGATGTTTTTGGACAGTTTTATCTGGCAGCTCAGTTAAAATGTTTTAAACTTGATTTCAGTTACTTTTCTTTCTCGTGTTACAGAGATTTGAGATTAATCTCACCCGTCACTGTGAAGTGCCTCAATCTATTATTGGTAGGTCTTGGTATGAAATAACAAGCATTGGGGTAAAAGCATTGCAATAAATATTCAAAGCATTATGAAACACTGCACCTAATCTTGATTATCAGTGCGTTCCATCAGAGGAACCTCCATCGCCCACCAAACACACGGTCAATTCACTTTGCAGTATATTCTATGAAGCGCTTTGAGACGTCTCAACAACGTGATAAGGCACCATATATATCAAGGTTATGGGGGAAAGAGCAGGGATTGGGATTAGAGTGATGGAGCAGGCACCAGCATAGGTACAATGAGGTTGATCAAGTTTGTTCAATAAACTTGACAAGAAGTAAATGTTACTGTTTGATGTTCTGTTTAAGGTTTGTTTTCGCATAGTTTTGCACATGGGGCTTCTATTTTAATTGGAACAGGGAACATGTAATCTTGTAATCTCGCAGGCACTCATGCTATAGACCTTGAGGAGGTCCTGTACACCCGAAGAGCTAAAGATAGCAGTCGTTTAGTGACGTGCAGAATGGGATCTCCTGTTATAAACAAGTGGCCAAAATTAGCTATTTATATCACTCGACCCCTGAGAGACCCAAGTGCCTTGGCTTTTATATTGAACTCCACCCGTGTCACCTCGATGCTGTAACTGTTTACCAGTTAGTATCGCCTAACGTTAATCTCCAGCGCAGACGTCACTGCTGTGCTGAGGGCTGTGCGTTGCTCGGCTCGGCTCGGCTCTGCTCGTTGAGGACTTGCAGGCTGCCCGAGGTGATGAACAAATCAGCTGTTTCTCAGATGCCCTGCTGGGTCACTGTGTACAGCCAGACAGCGACACAGATGGACCGGTGGCAGGAATAAAATGTTCTCCTCTCTTACCTTCCCCTGAAGTGCTGTAGCTCGGCGCGTTCTCTATCTGAGTGTAGGACTGAATGACAAACACCAGGATCAGTAATTGTCAGGTCCTCGTGACCATTCCATTACCCAGTGACTTGCCATCAGGACTCCAGTTGTGACTATGTAAAGATAGCTCCGTTTCTCAACACTTCACTTATCAGCAGGACCTCCGGGGTCAAGAGCTGTTCTCAGTGTAATTCTGATACACTTGCCGGTTATTTGTGCGCACTCCCATTATAAGAGCGTGTCAGGAGGCAGCTGAGAGGTGACTTCATCTAATGATTCACCGATAATCATAGGAATTCGATGTAAAGTTCTGCTGGTTACAAAATGCTGCATTGCGTGATCTCTGTTCTACGTTTATTAATGGCATTTCAACCAGGGTGGGAGCCTTTCTGTGTGCAAACGGCTGCCATGTTTGTCAACAAAATCAATCACTACACTTGCCAGTAGCTACTTTCTAAACACTTCCGGACATTTTGACATGACTTTGTCTACGAACCTGCAAGTTGTTTTTTTTGCTGTTTCCTTGCTTCCAGCGAGGAAATGGACGATATCTTTGCAGATTGGTTGCCTGAAAACATGCTTTTGCTGATTATTGGCCAACCTTTCTAAATAACTGAAGATCCTTAGTAAAATGCCTGCATTTCATTTACTCCAAATAACGCAGTACAGTTGTCAAACCTGGTCTGTGTGAAGTTGGAAAGCAGTTTTGTGATTCCCATGTACAAGTTTGCCTCAAACTGACAATACTTTGTTCTCTCTGATGTACACTGAAGGCATTAAGAGGGGGTTAAGACTAACATGGATATTGGCAGTGGAGGTTTTTGGAGTATGACTGGAAGTTATTTTACGATAATGATTTCACATTGGCTGATCCTATGATGTGAGTGGCATCCTGAAGCTTTGGGCCTAATTTGCGACCTTTCTTAAGGTGGTTCCTCAGTAAGGAATTTGTTATCGGTCTCCCCAACTCTCTTGAGGTCAAGAAAGTGACTACCAACCTGAAGCTTTCTCACAGCCGTTGAGCAGATAGTCCAATGAACCTCGACCTGGTGTGTTATCAACTGCAAAAACCTTTAGAATTGGACATTTGACGTGAATCACATACAAGAAGAAAGTGGGCAAGACCCTGACATAGGAACAGAAGGAGGCCATTCAGCCCCTCGAGCCTGTTCCATCATTCATTTAGATCATGTAACTGATCTGTACCTGAACTCCAATTACCCGCCCTTACCCCATATCCCTTGATACCCTGACCTAACAAATATCTATCCATTTGAGGCTTGAAGATTTGAATGGATCCAACACCTACAGCCTTTTAGCGGAGAGAGTTCCAGATTTCCACTAACTTTTGTGTGAAAAAGTTGATGTCACTCCTAAATGGCCTAGCTCTAATTTTAAGACCATGGCCCCTTGTTCTGTATTCCCCCACCCACTAGAGGATATAGTTTCTCTGTATGTACCCTGTCAAATCCCTTTGCCATTTTAAACATTTTGACCATTTAAAGCATTAAGGGATTTGAGGAAAGAGCAGAAAGTGGGACCAGAATTAAAGTCTGATTTTTGTTCTGCACACTACATAGAGCAAGTCTAAATCCTAGGTGGAATTTCTCCCTGTTGTCTACAGCCAGATTCTTGAGTGTTTGCTCTTGACAACAGACTCTCAGCAGATCGTTTTTTCACACCTTGATTTTCTCCTCTGTTACAGTTGGCCAAGTTGATTTCCCCAAAGCTCCCGATTCCTTTTCCTTTGAAGAAGACAGCAGCAATGAGGCTTTGACTCCAGAGCAGCCGAGAAGTCAGGAATCCCAAGGGTCGGAGAGCTCCCCGTCAGAGGCCAAGTATAGCGAGGCCTCATCGCCACTAGCGACCAGCACAATCCAGGTGGGTCACTGCTGCTTTTTATAGTCACCAAAGACTGGAGGTTAGACCCAAAGACTGGAGCTGGACACTTCCTCTTGGTGTGTGTTTACTTGTGTGGTCAGTTAGAGTATAATAAGCCCATAGTGGAGCTTAGACTTGGAGTCTTGTAGCTCAGTGGGTAGAGCACTCACCTCGCAAGCGAGAAGACCTGGGTTCGATTCCCAAGCAGAGCAAAATCTTAGGCAAGTTTCCTCACTCCACACGCCTCTTTTTACCTAGCAGTAAGTAGGAACCTGGTTGTTTGTCGATTGGCAGATCGCTTTTGTGGGAGTAATAATCCCTTCAAAAAAATAATAATAATTTCTTCATTCAATCTCTTTTATTGAGTGAACTTTGAGACTTTGAGACATTTCGAAGATGCGGTAAGGTGCTGTATCAAGAACTAGTATTGTTAAATCTGAACCAATGTTTAATAGCTTCACTCAGGAGGTTTGCATGCTGTGAATCACAGCTAGTAAGATCATTTGTTAAAGTAATATTATTTACAGTTTTCAAGAGCTTTCCAGACTTCTGAGATCTTGGCTCCAGATGAAAGATTAGTTATGGAAAGGTCCTCACTTTGTTTGTCTTTGATTTCTGTGATTTCGGGAAGTGGTGCTTTGCTGTGAACATTGTCTGTTAAAAGTAGCAATATTAAGCATTGGAATCGACAAATATTCAGACCATTTATCACTCCAGCCTCTTACTGTGAGATGTGTAATGACAACCTGGAGAGTAAGATAAATTCTGTTGAGCAAAAGAATCAAAGTGAAAAGTTGCGAGGGGCTAAGTGGGCCAATATTTTATTGTGTGTTCAAGCACGCTTCATCTGATTGTCTCTTTTACATTGTTCGCTATTAGACAAAGCCGTAGTGAAAAGATTGCTATCAGCACAAGACGGATCCCTCCCTCTCTTTCCATAATATTGATGGAACCAACATGTTTCAGGCAAACTGTGCGCAATTGTGACAATATCACAGCGTGCAGAGAAAGCATGATAGTTTCAAAGGAGTTGGGTCTAAATTGTGTACAAGAGATGAAGAGTTGTCTTGTTGGATGCCCTGTAGTTCTCCAGTGACAATGAGTTTATCTGCATGCTTTATATTCAGTATATTAACAGTTACGACTACCCCTAGTGGTAAGAATACAATGTTCTGCGTCGTTTCGTGAATAATTACTGACCTGGGAATGACAGCTCGTTGGCTTGAGCGCCTCATACCAATATGTGTGTTACATGGTGTACTTGGCAGTGGGCATGGTGATGTTCCAGGCACAGCTGTCAGTGGGCCAGTGATTGTATTTTATGGCATGTGGCTCATAAACTATTGTTGGCTTTCCATGTTGGAACATTTAAGTGAAGCCACCTGATACAGCGCAACTCTCCATGTGCTCCCAACTACCAGAGAGGCTCTGGGTCCCAGAGTTAAGTGGGAGCATTGGTTAGAAAATGAAAGAAAGGCATTTTTCAAAAATATTTGCAAAGCCCAGTGGCTGTTCCTTTATTTCCTTTCATTCTCTCTCACTCTGAAGTTCTCCCTCTTTCTTGGCAGGTGTCTGCCTGTTAAAGTCACACCTTCAGTATGAAGAAATACTTCCTGGTGTCTGTCCTAATCATGTACCCTCAGACATCTGAACTCACGCTCTCTTCTGTCTGAAAGTGCACTGTTAGCCCAGTCTGTGTCCTGTTCACAGCAACGTTCCCAGCGGAGGAAGGGTCATGGGGAGAGCGCGGAGGGAGGGGAGAGAGTGGGGATGGAGGGAAGAAGTCAGGAAGTGGAGGAAAAAGAAAATGGAAGAGCACAATCCAGCTAACTTTTCCCTTTGCTTTGTTTTACAGTATCTTCCCCACCTCTCCCAGCAGTGTGAGTTTAACAGGCAGACATCTGCACGTAGTTACCCAGGGAACCAAACCCAGCTGAATGATCAGATCCCTGCACCAATACCAGTGCCAGCCATAGTTAAAGTAAGCCTGAATTTCTAGCTCTCTAATCAGATGCTCAGTCAGCCCGCAGCAGTCCAGTGCAGCATGTGTGGCTTTGCGAGGTATCCATGTGTCTGCAGTTGGGGAGTTTAGGTTGCAGCCATTAATTGGGTTGACCACATGGAGGTGACTGTAGGCGTGGGGGCACGGTACTTTGTAAACTTGGGTATTTTTACCCCAAGATATTTCGCCCACAAAATACACAGTCAATTCACTTTACAGTGTATTCTGTGAAGCACTTTGAGACATCTCGAAGATGAGATAAGACGCTGTGTCAAGTGTAAAGATTGTTGTTATTATTAAAGGTGCAACTCATGGTTGGCCCTGCTCGGCCCACTCCTGCCAGCTCTGGGTGCTTGCTCTCGGGCATTGTTATAGGAGATGTTGCTGTGAACTATTTCTGGATCTTTGAGGGGATCTGTTTTGCGCTGGGCCTGAGTTTCTGAAGATCAGGTTCAGATTTAGTAATAATAATTACCAGACGGGAGAGTTTGTTCAGACCCACTGCGGGATTGGCAATGCCTGGTTCCCTCACAGTGACTGTTAAATTAGATCCTTGACTGCACTTGGACTCCAGTGAGCAAAGACGTCCAACACGTTTCCTTAATAAAGAAGTCAGTGTGGGGAGACGATGCAGTCTACTCTCAGTGCCCATTTCCTCACGAGTTGCTTTGGCTTCCGTCCTCTTTCTTTAATGGGTCGACCAGCCTCCAGTGCTGTAAACATTGTATAGTTTTAATGCACAGGTTTGCTTCAAACTTGCTAATGATCTGTTTGATGAGTACCAGGGTTATCAGCGTTTGTTTGAATCAAAGAGGTGTCAGATACTAATATCTACAAAATACACAGTCACTACACTCTACAGTAAATCCTATATAATAACCCTTGCATTTGATATAGCCTCTTATCACCTCGTTGAGATGTTTCAAATTGCTTCACAGGAAATACTATAAAGTGGATTGACTTTGCATTTTGTGGGCGAAACTCAGCAGCCAGTTGCACTCAGCAGTGTCCCACAAACAGTGGATTGAGTGACTAATTTTGTACTTGGGAGGATTTATTGACCAAGACATTGGGAGAGAGAAACTCCTTTCTCTTTTCGAATAATGCCATGGGATCTTTAAGGTCCATCTGGAGAGACAGACGGAACCTCGGTTTAACGTCTCACCCGAAGGACGGATGAGACATTAGACAGATGAGACAGTAAATCCTATGAAGTGTTCTTAGACGCCCTCCCAACGTGAAAGGCGCTATATCAAATCAAGGATAAATATTATTATAATAATATTTAGATTCAGCTATGAATTTCTCTGTACCAGTCTATAACATACTACCGCCATTAAGTTAGACTGTCATTGACTATAACACAGCCCTGTGTTATCTTAAAATAATAACACATATATCAAATGCAAGGATTATTATAGAGTGACTTTGGGATAATTATGTCAAGTCTATGACCCTTTGACACTACATTTAAGAGTGCTCCCTCAGATCCCCATTGCTACTAACCAAAACAAGAGAGAACTTGGACATGTTATAGAATGCTATCACAGTGAAAGTTCTCATATTGCTTTCTAGCAATTACTGTCTTGTATAATGACTGTATATTTTAGGCAAATGCACAGCAATTTTTTTTTTGCGCACAGCCAGATTCCATAAAGCTGCCATGAGGGTGACTGACCCGATTTAACCTGGAGGATTCTTTTTTTATCTGAAAGGTTGTAAGTGCATCAATGACGATGGCCAGTTATCTCCCCCTGGTCGCCGGCAGATAGCCACAAGCTTCGTGCTGAAGGTTCGGTCTGAGGAACACAGAGTAATTGCTTTTTCTCCCCTCCCTATCTTCCCTGGGAAAACACAGACGAAACCCTCATCAGACGGCAAGAACCAGCGTCACAAGAAACCCAAGGACACAAAGCCAAAGGTGAAGAAGCTGAAATACCATCAGTACATTCCACCCGATCAGAAGCCCGAGAAGTGCCTGCCCCCCATGGACTCTGCCTATGCACGGCTCCTCCAACAGCAGCAACTCTTCCTTCAGCTCCAGATCCTCAGCCAACAGCAGCAGCAGCACTACAGCTACCAGAACATCCTCCCTACAACAATAAAGTAAGTGCTGCTCAGGCCGTGTCTAGAAAGCCTGCTTCATCTCGCAGTCGGTGGATAGACTCCATCAGTTAACCGAACTTACACTCTGGGGTGTCCCCCAAGCTTTGGCTCTTGCCAACCTGCGCCTAATACATTCCAGAATTAGGTTAGCAGCATGTGTCCCTCCAGGGGGAGAGAGAGAGAGAGCGCATTCCATCGCAACAATCTATCTCTGGGATTTCCTTGTGTAGGTGGGATGTATGTGTGTAATGATTCTCAATCCAAAGCGTGCGTGTGTCCGGTAATTTATTATCAACTATCAACTCACAGTTTGTTGTTGTTTCAAATTACTCAATGTTGATGCTTTGATCTGGAATATTCTGATGTATCGTTGAGTTATATTACACCAGCGCGGCTCACACTATAGAACCGGGACCTGACATGACTATTTGTGTTGGACGCTCTCTTTACAGACAGCCTGGTGAGCAGTTGTCACGGGGAAACGCGGGGATGTCCTCTGGTGCTGTCACAAGCAGCAGCCTGTCACCTGTCAGATCCACCATCTCAGCGCAAGCTGCTGTCTGCTCTCTGAAGCCAGGACCCTTGCCCTCAAACCTGGATGATTTAAAAGTACGTTCAGCGCAATTTACACCCTCAAAATTGTTAATGGAGTGGATGATGCGAGTGGGACAACATGGTCCACTCATGCTTTGCAGTTACTGAGAAGCTCTTCAACACACAATCAAACACCGCCTCTGTACCTTTGGGTTATTTGATTGTCAATGGGCAGAAGTTACTCTGACAGAGGCTGCTGTAACGTTAACAGGCAAATTAGCAGTTTTGCCAATGAAGAACTGTCTCGTTTTTCTCTGTGTTAAGGTCTAACTTTACTGTGCGATGCCTTTTCTGATCAATGATATTTCTGATTTATCCACATAACCTCAGATTTACTCCCTGCCCCACATGCTAGTCAATATAGGACAAATAGGTCAGGTAAACGCTGGAGAGATGGTATGGGGGAGAAGGGTTTAGATCCTTCGGACACTGGGACCAGCAATCAGCAGTACAGAATGGATGGGCACCAATCTCCTCACTGGGAGAATAACTTGCACTGCAGCAGAGGACTCAAATAATATGCTGGTGGGTGAGGGAAGAGTAGTGGACAAGCATATTTATACACATTAGGCTAGTGTCCAAGGGTAGGATCCAATTTATTCTGTACCAATTTGGTGGGCCAACTGTGCTTGGCAGTGTTCACTCTTTGAAGCCAGAACAAAATAGGACAGGAAAAGTATGGGCTGGTGATATCATTTGATAAATATGAGCTATTTTAGTTATGTTTATGTCCCAAAAAAACATGACTGGTGAATCTTGGCTTCTCCTGTACATTGCTGAGGTTACTCCTATGTCTATTAGCCACAGAATCTTCAGTATCTTTTTTTACAGAACTTTAGTACTTTGTCTTTATCAGCCTTCTCCCAGGGCAGTTTGTAGAAGGTTTCTGTTGGCGTTTATCTTCATTGGATTTGACACAGAGCGGGGAAAAGAAGAAGACATTTCAGTACAAGTCAGGCAACCATTTTCCCACTCGATCCACTGAACCAAAAATAGAACCAAGCCTTGACTCTTGCCAACATGTGCCTAATACTTTCCAGAATTACGTAAGCAGGTTATGTCCCTCCAGAGAGAGAGAGAGAGCGCATTCCATTCCAACAATCTATCTCTGGGATTTCCATGTGTAGGTGGGATGATGGAAATCTCAGCTTGGTTTGGAGACTCTTAAGCACGATGACAGGTTTCCATGTGTGTCAGACACCCGGCTGACCAAAATAAAACTTCTCAATCGAATAGCAAGAATGGGATTCAGAAACTAAAGCCAGATCAATACTTTCAGATACACCGAGAGGTGGCAGATCAAGAGGGCACAGTTTCAGTGTCTTAAATTTACAGTATAATACAAATTAATTCACATTTATTTAGTGCCTTTCATGCTGGCATATATTTTACATGGTTGGAAGGTTTCTCTTTGTAAACCGTCAAATGGCAAACGCCCCAATAGGGATTTCCTAATGACCATGGGCCATTTGCCACAATTTCTCCCTGGCAATGACACAGTCTCTTGACAACTCCTTGCACTTAATCATCTGTAACACAACTGTTTTTTTGGTCTCTCGCTCACTGCAGGTCTCGGAGTTGAGGCAGCATCTGAGGATACGAGGCTTGCCCGTGTCTGGCACAAAAACAGCCCTCATGAAGCGACTGAAACCTTTCCAGGATTGCAATGGAGCTGTCCCGCCCACCGCCATCTCTAATTCAGTCAGCGAGATGACAGCAGTGACTTTCTCAATGACCCCGGCCACGTCTCTGTCCAGCTTCCAGCCTCAGCCGGGCACCACGGTGCTGCCCAACGGGTTCTATCAGTTTGGCAGCACCAGCTCCACCCCGCCCATCTCCCCCGCCTCCTCAGACCTGTCAGTGACCGGCTCTGACCTAAGCGGTTTGCCCGACACCTTCAGTGACGTGGCCGTGTCCTCCCCCCAGTTTGTGCTGCCCACCTCCCCAGGCCGGCTGTGCGGGGAGGATGGGCTGATGGGCAGCGCTCAGGCCGAACTGGAGGGCCTCGAGGTGCAGAAGGACAAGATGCTGATGGAGAAGCAGAAGGTGATCGAGGAGCTGACCTGGAAGCTGCACAGGGAGCAGAAACAGGTGGAGGAGCTGAAGATGGAGCTGCAAAAGCAGAAGAGAAATAACCAGCCCGACCACTCGCTCTTCTCGGTGTCCATCAAACAGGAAAACCTGATGTCCAGCTGTCCATTTGCAGATCAGCAGATCAATGACAGGAGCCCCACTGCCATTGTCTCCTCCACATCCAACTGTGGCTCAACAGAGAGTCTGAATGCTTGTGGGACGCCACAGAGGTCACAGAGCGTGGTGAACAATCACACAAGTGCAGAAGGTTGCGAGCAGAACACCATTAGGTCCCCGCCTTTCCTCAGCCCTCAGTGCTCCCCTCAACATTCCCCTTTGGGCGGCTCCACACACAGCCCGCAGCACGCCAGCCTTCCTCCTTCCCCCAAGAACCACTTCCTATTGTCCATGTCTCCCACCCCCCAAAATGGAGATGGACGAAGTGTTTCACCTCATCAGCTCCAAACTGCCAACGGTCACCTCAAAGTACAGGTAAGAAGAGTGTTCTGAGTGGCCAAGTTGGTTATTTTCTAGATGTCCGTACTAAAGATAAAGCAGTTTTACTTTGAATCATCTTCTTTCCTTGATTGAAAAAGTCCTCTCATTTTGACAGTGTCTCATAAGGTCAAAACCTTTCACAAGTTGTTGCCATCAAGTGCAGTGACTTTTTTTTGTGGGTGAAAATGGCAGCTAGTTGCACAATTGAAGTCTCATGTCAGCAATGACCTGGACGCACGTCAGCCAGGAGGACACTTGGGCAATCCCTGCATTTGATATAGCGCCTTCTCACATCGTCGAGACATCTCAAAGCTCTTCACAGGATATACTGTGAGGTGTAGTGACTATGTATTTGTGGGCAAAATGTGGCAGCCAATTGCACATAGTTGCTGAATCCTTGTGATTCTTTGAATAAAAGGTTAATTTTCAAAAAGACAAACTATTTTTTCACATTGACATATTTTCGCTCACTGTCTTTGTTGCTGCAGGCCACACAGGGACAGGAGCCTCTACAAGCCAACAGCCCCCAGTACCAGCACCACATCCTCCAACACCAGATACTCAGGAAGGTATTGAGACATTGCTTTTTCTTTGGTCACAACAACAATCTAATTTCTAGCCCTTCACGCAGGGTAGTATCCCAGCCCGCTTATCTCAGTGTCTGACATGTCGAAACCCAATGCCATGCCTTAGAGTCTCCAAGTCAAACTACTGAGAGTTCCACATAGGGCTGGACAATTCCCTTGGTCTGGCATGCAGCGTTGCAGGGAAAAGATGGGGAAATGGGATTAAAACAGTCACCAAGGCCCAGAGGATAACACACAAGCCTGGTTTGTGTCCGATTACAAATATAATGGGGCAAAATAAGAATTTTAGCTGTCAATAAGTGGAACTAAAATTCTGTTCAGAACCGAAGACTTGTATCTGACAGATTCCCCTGAAAAGTGACCTTTCAAATGTCATACAGCTTGTGACTGCAGTGTGTTCCTACTCAACAAGCTGGCTGGTCCTCGTTGGACAAGCAACGGGAAGCTGCTAGGCCAGAGTAGCAGCAACATTTGAACTGATTCCATGATTGTTAGCAAAATGAAGCTGATACTCAAAATGGTGAAATGTCATTCTACTCCTGTGTGATGTAGATAAGCTGTGAATGGTTTGTAATGGTCAGTGGACTGAGCGTTCTGTTGGCTTTCTGTTATTCAGATGAACGTCCCAAACTCTGCTGTCCCGGGGCAGCAAAAGTTCATGGTTGGTGGGTCTCCCTTCTGTAGCTCGAGCTCCACACTCAGCAAGATAAAACAGCCTCCGTCTTATGAGGATGCAGTCAAACAGGTGAGACTCATATGTACTGTACATTTGGTCATTAGTCATTAGAGCCTTCAATGAGCAACGACAGCACAGGCAATTTGTTTTATCCACTCAGCAGTTTTGCAACAATTAATTCTGGGTTCATGGAGGTAATGTGGCCCTGACATCCTTCGTTTGGTTACTGAAAGATGTCTTCATTAATTTGGTCACTCAATCCACAACTGTGTGTGGGACTCTGCTGTGCGCAATTGGCTGCTGTGTTTCGGCCACAAAATGTACAGTCAATTCACTTTACAGTATATTCTGTGAAGCGCTTTGAGACGTATCGAAGATGTGATAAGGCGCTGTATAAATTGCAAGGATTATTATAAATATTATTCTAATCTATCTTGTACAGCAATTATCCAGGAGCCAGATGGATGACCTTCTGGATGTGCTCATTGAGAGTGGAGGTAAGGAGCTGTTCTTTTCACAATGTCTATCTGTAAAGCATTCAATCATTCAAGTATCTACTGCCTTCTTTGGGGTAGGAACCCACCCAGGTCTGCATTGGCTCTAATGTCTTAGCCTTTCAGAGCATCCAGAAATTTGGGCAAATTGTTCAATTCAGCCCCAACTTCCAAGCTGGCTTTCCATGCTTCTTAAAATGGGCTTCCAAATGAAGATGTCACAAACTCTGTCCCCTGAGTGCGGCGAGTTTTACCTGACTTTTTTGTCAAATTCTGTTTGCTCTGAAATGCTAAAAAAGTAGAGTAAGTCTAGACCCAGTTCGCATTTCTCCCCACTTTGGGATGTAAGGTTCTGTGTGCATATCCCAAGTGATAGAAGTAAGCTTAAGAAACAAGCGCCCAAATTTCACTTAACAACTCTGTTTTGAGTACCATTTCCTCTCAGTTCACAATTGAAGTACCTTTTATTAATAATAGCTTTTTATTCACAACTTTTAAAAGGGAATGAGATAAACATTTGGAAAAGACAATTAATTATACAAGGGTAGGGGGAAAGGGAGTAAGAGTAAATGGATAGGTCTTGGAGAGAGCTGTCACATGCATGATAGGCCAAATACCCTCCTTGTGTGCTGTCAAATGAATGATTCTCTCATTCTGTAACTTGGGAAATAAGCCACACTTGCAAGAAATATTTGTGTGCATTTTTATACTTTTTTGTAAAGAAGGTTGGGACAATCGACCATTTATATTGTCCATTATTACACGTTCGTCCACAAAACACACAGTTATTGCACTTTACAGTACATCCTGAGAAGCGCTTTGAGACGTCCTTCTGACATGAAAGGCTCTGTACCAAATGTAAGCATTGTTATTATAGGGATTATTATTATTATTATTGGGATGTCCTCCTTACATGAAAGGCACTATACAAGTGTAAGTTGTTATTATTAGTAATTTGAATGTGTTTTCTTATTCAGAGTGTTTTCTGCTTTCAGAAATGCCACCAAATGCCAAAAACGATCATCCGTGTAACCCAAAGTCAGTGCCTCAAATCACAGTGTCCTCAGGAGCTGCCAGTGTGACCGGGCCCAGATCTTCAGCGAGCTCCTTCGATCACATGTCCCCTCCCCACCTTCCCTTTGACCATTGCACGAGCAACGGTGACAATCGGCTGGAGGCCTTGCTGAATTCTCACGGCTCCCTGAGCAGGGGCAGTGACCTCAGTCTGCTCAAAATGGGCGGCGAGGATTCTCGCTTGGACACTATGGTGGAGGGCTTCCCGGGGACCCCGCAGGAGGAAGTGCTGAACACTCCAGACATTCTGGAGAATCCTCTGTCACCGATAGAAGCCCACATGTCACCGACACCCACACATGGCCCAGGTCTGAACCTGGGTCTCACAGAAACACCCTTGGAGAGTATGGACTGGCTGGATCTCACACCCCCCAGCTCAGCCGCTGCCTTTGGATCTGTCGGCTCCACCACCCCCAGCATCTTCTCTGCTGATTTCCTGGACGTGACGGAGCTAAACTTAAACACGACTATGAACTTGCAATGGTAACGTTCTCTACGGGAAACAAACTACGTGGTATGAATAAGGAACCACACCCTTGAGGTGTACCAGCCAAACAGGTCACGTCGGCAAGAGTAAAGTTGCTGGAAAGCAACTGTTAGTCTGAGATAAAATCAATAAGCTGTGGTTGCTGCATGTCATCATGTCATGATTGCTGTGTAAACTTTCTTGTGACTGCATTTTACTGGATGCAGCACAACCATCATGTCCATTGCCAAAAATACAGGGGTCTGCTGTAGTCTAAATCAAACTGAACAACGAAGTGTGAATGGGCAAAGGGTGAATGCCTGGTAGACAGTCCCATTGGCATGGAGTTTGTAACTGACACGTCTTTTGTACATAGCTTAAAGTCGCTCACTCCGTTTGCAAGATCTTTTGTGGATCTTTATATTAAAAAAAGAATTCTTTATTACTAGCTCAAGTCGACGTTTGCCACCCAGATTAGCGGAGGGCATTGGGAGGGTACCTGCATGTCTTGTGAAGCGCGCCATTGCGCTGTCACAGTAACGATGCAGATATCCGTCCACCCTCTGTAGCGCGGATATTAATCTAGTTTTCACTTTGCACAATTAAGACTTTGTCACGTTTTTGCCTTTTGTAGATACCCAACTAGGTGTGAAAGTGTGCAGAAGCCATTCCATGCAACTACGCACTTCTGTTTTGCAAAACCCAGTAAGTTTATTAAACGTATCCGATGCATGGCTTTGCACAACAGATGCTTCTTATAAAAGTTTATATGTGGGGGTGGGAGGGATGGTCTTTTTTTTTTTTGCCTTGTATTTGATGAACAAAACGAAAGCAGGTCCCACTTTGTAGAAAGGAGTAAAATTGCAGAATCATGGAAGAGGCTATCTTGATTGTCTAAAGTTTAGACTTGTTGCATCATAGGAAAATGTTACACCCGGATTGCAATGCACAACAGCTGAGCAAATATCTGTTCCGGCCTTGAATCCAGTTGTTTTATAGGCAATTTTGGTATTGACCAAGGTGTTATTTTTTTATATATATATCGTCAGAATGTAGCCTTCAGGCCCCCGTTTTTATATTTAAAAGAGATTTGATGTCATAGGGGAACAACAGCGATGAGAATCAGGTAACTGAGATGTCTCCAATTTCAACCCTTGTCTTAGTGTAAAGAAGCATAGTTTATTTTTTTGGTAATTTTTATTCAAAGCAAGGAAAATATTTTCATACAGTTTTTTTTTGTATTTTGTATCTTCCCTCTCGGTAATGTTATTTAAAGCGAAAACCAAGTACTTTGTGCTATTTCAGCATCTGTGGAGCATCAATTCTGTCTCCAGCTCAGAGGTTACTCTGCAAGTGTCTTGTCAAGTCTCATGTGGAGCTTTATCATTGGAAATACTTATCTTATTTTCCCCCCAGTTTTGAATTGTTTGCTAATTTTAAGAAGTTCATATCTTAAAGATACTGTACAGTCTGTTAACCTGTTCTCCTCACAATGCTTTAGAGTTTTGTAATTGTCTCTCTCCTGTCTCTCTCTTGCTGTTTATTATACCTTCCAATCAAGGCCTTGACTAATCTAGAATACCATCCCTCGAGTGCCTTATAACGGGAGTAAGTAGTGAAGAACAGGTATAATGAACAGTGTGTCCTGGTGTGCTGTGTCACACACACTACGTGCTGATTATAATGATCAATTATTGTAAACGTCCTGCTCTTGTGCCTGAAAGCAGCACTCCACGGTCCAAACTCTCTTCATTTTTCCTTTGTGAACGCTGGAACCATCGAGCGCAGTTCACGGACGTTCCTGTGAGTTAAACCAGTTACTGAAGTCACAGTTAATGTTCTGAGGCCTGAATTGTATGATCCCATTCCAGTGACTATTTTATTAAGAGTGGTTCCTTTTGAACTGGATGAAATGCATGACTTTGTCGTTCACGCTTAGATAGTGCGGTTTATCAAAGTCGGTGTGCAGTAACAATAACACTAGTGCTGCTGAATAAGCAGATCCAATCCTTGCGAGATTTACAGATTGTGGTGTATAATTCAAGAGAGCCAATATTCTCCAGCATTGATCGACCCAATCAGGTCTTAACATATCAAACAATCAGAACTCGCAAACCTTCAGCTCTAAAACAAGTTGCCTTAAATGTTTTAAATTCTTTCACAATTTTCAGGCGGGGTTGGGGGGGGGGGGGGGGCAGAAACCTTAAATTCAACGTTAATTTAATTTGGAAGTTGATAGATTTTTTTTGAGAACTGTCTGTCTTGCAAATTAAGGCTGAATTTAAGAATTCTCTGCAATTTCTGCACAATCTTAAATTGTCACACCAATTTTTAAGACTTAGAAGAGGTGGATTTCCAAGCCTGAGCAATGCAATGTCTTTGGCAAAAAAAACGTTCTGTGTTTTATGATGTAAAGTCAGCTCACACTCTGTTATATACAATAATAATAATCCTTGCATTTGATATTGTGCCTTATCGCGTCTTCGAGACGTCTCAAAGCGCTTCACAGGATATACTGTAAAGTGAATTGACTGTATATTTTTTGGGCGAAACACATATAACCCATAGCCCACAACAATCCAAGTCACAGATTTTTGAATATACAAATAGTTCTGAAAACTGGAGTGATTTGACACAGTATGATACGAATATTTGAATAAACGACAGCAAGAAATCAATAAATAAATAAGTAAATAAATAAATAAATAAATAAAGGATTATTGGTTCCTTAAAAGCACAGGGAAGCTGTGAGAGTGTAAATCCTGCGATGAATTGTAAGCTTTCTCAGCTGTGTAGGAAAAATACTAACCTCAAAAAGATTCCCTCTAATAATAGTAATCCTTGCATTTGATACAGCCCCTTATCAGATTTTCGAGACGTCTCAAAGCGCTTCACAGAATATACTGTAAAGTGAATTGACTGTATATTTTGTGGGCGAAACACGGTTTCAGTAATGTAGTTGCAGTTCGATAATCTGGCACATTTTATAAAAGGCAAATGTAGAAATTCACTTCCCGGGGGGGGAAACTTTATTGCTTTTTTCATTAAAACTGTGAGACACAAAATTCTGGCGAGTCTCAGCTCGCGAGGCTGCTTTGCCGCAAAAAAAGTCACAATTAATTTGGAAGCCGGGTTCTTTTTGAGAACTGCGAGGGGTGGGGCGGGGAGAAAAATGGGCGGCTTCAAACTGAGTTGGAACGTTTCACAATTCTGTGGAAAATCATACATTTGAAGGTAAAGTTGTCTTGCTGGCTAAGACTTGGTGGAATCTGGGGTCTCCCCCGGTCGCTTATTTGCCAAGTGATGCCTTACCCCCACAATTTGTGAGTTATGTTTTCTTCTTCCAAAATGCACCTTCTTTCATCCCCTTCCAAATCACAACAGTCACCATTTCTCCCTCTTTCTCCCCACCCTATCCTCCCATCCATTCTCCCATCCATGGGGTTGAACACAGCCTTGTATTCAGGAATCTTTCAGTGCAGAGCAGTAGCTGGGATGAACTAACTGATAAACTGACACTCACTTATTCCCTGCCTGAAACCAGGGTAAACTCGTCGTGTCGGGAGATTTCCTCAGGACCCCAGCGCAGTACATCACCACCACTATTGAGGAAGATGAACGCAAACACAACAGCAAAAGTGACAGCGATATCACAGCTGTAAGCCACCTGATTAATTCATCTTATTAACTGATGATCTGTGAACTTGTCCAACATCAGTTGCCTCCTTCAGAACTTTACTCGTGTGCAGCTGTGATTGATACCCCCCCACACACACTCACACCTTCCTCCGTCTCTCCAACCAGGGAGGCGTCATTCCAGGTTCCAAATTGCAGACTTTTGAATTCAATATCTCAAAATTCCTTCAATAACATTCCTCAGGACGGTGTCAGCACCTGTGCTCGATCAAACACCATCCTGGCAAGGCTCCCGTTGATGGGCCGAGGGGCACACTCTCTCTCTCTCTCTCTGTTCTGATATTTCTGAGATGCAGTAACAGCCTGCTTTTCTCTTATCACTCCCAACCCATCATCTCGATCCAATTAGTACCCGCGCGGAGGAATTGCAGTGTAATTGGCTTGGTGGCAAAATGGGTGGATTTGGTTTCAGAAGGTACTGTGATATTCAGTGTGTACACTGACTGCACTGTTAGCGGGGTTTGATAAACTGGGGGCCGGAGTATTTATACAACAACAAATAAATGACATTTACACGACGCCTTTCACGTCGGGAGGACATCCCAAAGCATTGGACAGTGAGGGATTTGGACCCCAACAGGGGGTTGGGATCGGGTGGGGAGTTTGAGGGAGGGTAGGGGTAGGAGGGTGGCCGAAAGCGCGGTCGAAGAGTAGGGTCTGGAGATATGCTTTGAAGGAGGCAAGGACAAGGACTGATGCTTTCTCCCCCCCTCCCCCACTGAACGTTTCTGCCAAAAAACTGCATTTTATTTAAAAGTTTATGCAAATAACCTTACGTGCACTTGTTCGGCTTAAAGCTACAAAAGTGGAATTAGAAAGATACGTTCCATTTTGTTTACTCACATTTATTTTCTCATCCACGTTTCCTACACTTTCTCTCTTCTCATCTTACGCATTTCCCTAATGCTCCAGTCAGTGCCTTATTTCTGCCACCTCCCCTTATGGCTCAGCCGAGAGAGACCCAGGACTCTGTCAATCGCAAGGTAGGAGGATCCTTGCTCCAACATTGCATCGCATTTGTGATCAGTCGACCAACCAACCACATTACTGGGCACCATTGACCCAAAATTCCACTAAGTCTTAACCTGTACAGACCAATTTGTCATAGAACTTAAGATCGCGGCAGATTCTTAAAATTCCCCCTTAATGTGGAAATTACGTTACTTTTTAAGAGCTGTAGAAAAACGCCTTCCAAATTAAGACTGAAATGAAAAGTTTTTCATAATTCTCTCTCAAGTATTAAGACGTAAATCAGAGGTTGGGAAGCGGTAGAATTTTGGATCTCAAATCAGCTCAATTCCCAATTTAATAACAATAATAATCATCCTTACATTTGAGATGTCTTTGAGACGTCTCAAAGGGCTTTACAGAATATACTGTAAAGTGAATTGACTGCATTTTGTGGGCAAAACGCATCAGCCATTTTGTAGTGATAAAACACCTCAGAAACTCCAACTCTGTTGTCATTTTTTTGTGTCGGAAATGGTTTTGCCCAGTTTGTGGGTGATAGCATGGACTGGTTAAGCACACCACAATATGGCCTTTTATTGGTGGTTTTGGTATCCCAAATGCACAGCCCAGTAGTGTTTGCCTTTGATAAATATGGTTGGATTATCCACTGCTGAAATCCTCTCAGAGATCGGTGCTCTAAGTTGGCAACAGAACAAATGTCGGGAGCAAACAGCCCATTTGTAGACTTTGACTGCTGTACTAAACTGCCTCAGAAGAGTCACTATTGCTTCGACCAATCTGTGGGTCTAAATTCTTTCTATATTCATATGCCTTATTTTTGCACTTTGTAAATATTGTGTATTTTTCTTATTGGTGTACCATTTAATACAACAGAACGTTTGCTTTGTATATATAACGGCAATAGTGTAGAAACCAAAGTATTAAAAAAAAATGCTGTGTAACATGCCATTGGTTTTCGAACTGGGTATTTGTTCTTTAATAAATGGTTTATCATGGCACAATCGGTATTTGTGCTACTTTATATTCTGTTTCGAGGTTGTTCTTTAGCAAATAACGCACCAAAAAAAATGTTCAATCCTCACCCGCAGCTGGATGGGTAAAGGTAAGATAGATTCCTGTAGCATATTGGTTAGAATACTCGCCTCGCAAACGAGAGGAGCCGGGTTCTCAATCCACAACTGTTTGTGGGACATTGCTGTGCGCAATTTGGCTGCTATGTTTTGCCCACAAAAAAATAGTCAATTTACTTTACAGTATATTCTGTGAAGCGCTTTGAGACATCTCAACGATGGGATAAGGCGCTATATCAAACACGAGGATTATCATCATCACTATTATTAAGTATAGATAGGTAGATCTAATAGACCGTTTAGGAGAAACACACAGAGGGAGTGAGAATGTGGAGCTCACTACCGGAAACTGTGATGAAGTAAATAAAATTAAGATAAAAATAGATGCTTACATAAGGGAGAAGGGAATAGAGTTGGGGGTGGGGGGAGGCGGGGGGGGACTTGAGTGAAGCATAATCACCAACATAGACTGGTTGGGCCAAATGGCCTGTTTCTACGCTATATCACTCTTTGTAACTGTGTAAGTGGATTGGGTCTCATAGGCTCAGCACTTAAGGCAAGTAACTTAGAATCGCAGACACTTACAGAGGATTCAGCCCATTGAGTCTGTCCTACCTCATTCCCCTTCAAGCCTCTTCAGTAGAGGCTCGCTCTCCACATGCTGGAATAAGAGACCACGAGAGAGAAGCACACCAGCAAAGTAAGTTTATAAATGACATTTGTAATGTTTCCTTGGAATGAATTTAACTTATTCAAAATCTCTCTGTTCTTGACTCTTGATGGGAAAACTCATCAAGTCAAATACAGTTGAAATAATAAGTAACAATAATCCTTTGCATTTGATATACACCTTACACGTCAGGAAGACATTTCAAACCACTTCACAGGACAGACTGTAAAATGTAGTGACTGGATTTTGTAGATGATCCAGAAAAGTGTATAATTTTCAGCAAGTTATGATCATTGCAAAGGAGCAATGAGAGCATTTTACCATTGTTCATTTCAGAGATGTGGTGTCGTAATGTATGTTCCACCAGAAAGATTTCAGACTTTGCTCATCCCTGCTTTTTTTTTAAAAAAATTGTTCTGTGATTGATCGATGTGTTTTCCAAGACTTAATTCACTCAGACAACTCTACAATCAGGTTTATGTGAAGATATGAAGGAGTAAAAGTCAGTGATCTGATCTTGTTTGTCCCATCATTTCACTGCACTCCAGGACCAGCTGAGACCAGCTTTATCTCTTGCCCTCCCCATGGCACCAAAGCGGATGATAAATAATCCCAGCAGATTCTGGCATAATTGTCTGGAACCTCGCTTAGTTCAAATGAAACGCATTCTATTCATCAAATATCATCCCTCGAAGAGGTATTGTATCAATCATGATTCAACAGAAAGGCTTCCATACCTACAAGTCGGACTGGAACCAATCTA